TATTATTATTATTATTATTATTATTATTATTATTATTATTATTATTACTGCCTTTGAAAACCAGTGTTAAAGCTGCCAACATAAAAGGGAGCTCAGATCCACCAAATGTTGAGAAGGTTGTGGGAAGTAGGGGTGCAGAGGGCACTGCAACACCCCTTTTATGGTTCTGGCTTGTTCTGCACAGAAATATTCATTTTTTTATGTTTTTGGCATGACAGTCAAAGTGTGTCCTTATGAATTTTTGTTGGAGAAGCTTGGATGAAAAAAACTTAATGAAGGGGTGAAGACATTTAATTCAAACTTAAAAAAAAAAAAAAAAAAATTCCTGGAGGTCTCTGTATTTCAGCTAATCACCGAGAATGGCTCAGGTGATTTTAGATTAAACTCGTCAAAAAGTTTGGCAGTTCCGCAGCTGCTAATTACAGCTCGTTTCTGTTGGCTAATTTGACAATTAACACCATCACCCACCCCCCACACGCATCCACACCACCCTAAAAAAGGGAGAAAAGTGAGCTTGTTCATCAAGAAATGTTTAATTAATCTATTTTATCTGTCCGTCCAACTATTGTCATAACTGTAAATGCTTTTAACCGTTATTATCTCATAAAACAGCACAAAACTCAGTAAAAAAAAAAAAAATTAAAACCAAACAAACAGAAAAGAACAAAGACATAATTTTTGTTTCATAACCTCAAACATCATCAACGTTGATCTTTGCTCCTTCCAGTGAATCGACTGTCGGTCAGTTCGTGCTCATTCAACAACAGAATAAAGCAGAATATTTGAATGTTAGGAGACTTCCTGAAAGTAATAATTAACGAATGTGAAGACAACCGCTTCACTGTTCTGCCTGTGTGAGCTGTCGTCTCCTCATCAGATGGAGGTTGTTCAGATGTCTCTGTAGATACATGCTTGGTTGAATGTACAGTTCAGTGTGTGCCTCTCTGTCAAATAGATATTATATATATATATATATATTATATTTGTTGTATTTTTAAAGGACGACTGGTTGATTTCAGCCTGAGGCTCATCTGCTTCCTGTTAGATTGCTTCACAACATAACCATTGCAGTGTGTTTTTCAAATCTCGTAGCTAAAAGAAAAGAACTCGAGTTGAAAACAGCCATATTATCCTGTGAAGCAGTTTATATAGAATATGTTTAAGGACAAATAACAGTATTATGATGGCTTCATTTGAGATGTTCTAATAAGAACGACGCTCGTAACGTTACAGCTCTATATCACGTTTATTAACAGTGTTAGTGTGTGTGTGTTTTGCTCTTCTTTCTGGGATCTTGTTCACATGTTCAGATGTGCGTATGTTATAATGTAGCTGTGGCGTGTTGCTATATCAGTCCGGTGTTTTATTATCAGCGTCTCTTGTGAAAAACGGTGCAGACAGATTTAAAAACTCACAGGTTTTCAATGTCTTTATTTACTTCCACTTTTTAAAACGCGACCAGAGCCATGGAAGCAAACTGCTGTCCAGTTCCTCGCTGTTAAAACGTCTGCATTTCGAAATGACACGAGCGATGTTTCTCATTAATAAACTAATTAATAAAGTTGAACTTTACTTTTGTGATTTTTTTTTTTTTTTTAACATCTGAAAACACACAACGAACTCCTCACACCTGAAGTCACCCAAAAATTCAAAATTTCAACGCAGATCTGACCTTTTTTTTTCTTCCCACACTGGCTCTCTAACGAGGCGCACACTTTCTCTTCCCCTCTCCCTGTTCTCCTCCTGCTTTTTTGCTCTCTGTCTGTGTATCGGAGCAGCTCCTATTTTTACACATCTTCTGAAATGAAAACTACTGTTTTGGTTATGACCAACTGGACTTTCAATGCAAATGACAAAATCTTTTCAACAAAGCGGCAGGGTCCTGGAGGACCCTCATCAGCTCGGACAACACACATGCAGTTGGATATATCTCTGGGGGTGATGTGTCTATCTCTGCTGTCGATCGAGGACGCCGGAATTGCATATAATTGGATTTATGATAACAGGTTTCTTGTTTTTGGAATAGTCTGGATCCTGGTTTATCAACATACAAAGAGGACGGCCACAGCTAATTTGGCCCTTGTCAGGCTGCTGCCTATGTGAAGGTTTGGTCCGTGCTTGGAGGACTCAAAATCAGCTGATTTACGAGCTAAACTGTAAGTTGGAAGTGATTTGAATCGCAGGCCACCTGCAGCTTTGGGACTCGTCAGCATGAAACGACCTTGAAGAGGCTCGTAAGCACAAACCAGTAGAATGCATCTGGCCATTTCAGATCTTGGAAGTACCAGTAAAGACTCAAGGCTGACAAGAAAAATAGTCTGCCTGAATAAATCAACAATTGTGGATTATCTCAATCCGACTCCCCGGTTGGCCTCGAAACAGGCTGACTTATCAATTTCTCCTGGGAAATGTTTAAACTAAGGAAAAG